CTACTGGCGGTGAGGACAAGGTTCCTGGCTGTGAGGACCGGGTTCCTTCCGGTGAGGACAAGGTTCCTGCTGGTGAGAACAAGGTTCCTGGCGGTGAAAACATGGTATCTGGCGGTGAGGACAGGGTTTTTGGTGGTGAGGACAAGGTTCTTTCCGGTGAGGACAAGGTTTCTGGCGGTGAGGACAAGGTTCCTGGTGTTTAGAACAAGGTTACTGGCGGTGAGGACAAGGTTCCTGCCGGTGAGGACAAGGCTACTGGCGGTGAGGGCAAGGTTCCTGGCGGTGAGGACCGGGTTTCATCTGGTGAGGACAAGGTTCCTGCTGGTGAACACAAGGTTCCTGGCGGTGAGGTCATGGTATCTGGCGGTGAGGACAGGGTTTTGGTGGTGAGGACAAGGTTCTTTCCGGTGAGGACAAAGTTCCTGGCGGTGAGGACAAGGTTACTTCTGGTGACAACATGGTTCCTGCTGTTGAGGAGAAGTTTCCTGCAGGCGAGCACAAGGTTTCTGGCTGTGAGGACAAGGTTTTTACCGGTGAGGACAAGGTTCCTGTCGGTGAGGACAAGGTTACTGGGGGTGAGAACAAGGTTCATGGCGCTGAGGGCAAGGTTCGAGGCGCTGAGGACACCCATTCAAACTTGTAAGTTATGATGTAGTTTTTAACTGACGGGTAGAGAAATGAGAGAACTGAAACTGTAGATATTGTAAGATGCATTAAACATAGGCTTAGTAAACCTATTATTATTATTATATTATATATGAGAAAGTAGTTGTCCGTGAAATTGCTTTTTTAAGACACGTGAATTGTGAAACGCCTTTTTTTCGTTGTGAAACGTGCATGACCATACCCGTTTTTCCCACCCTCTTGTAAGGGTGTTGAATGTATTATGAATAAAGTTGTAGGTACATTGTGGGATGTTCTTTCGGAGGATTGGGTACTGGGGGTGGCTAAATTTGATACAAATGTCAGGGTAGATGGGGTTTCATCCACCACTTCATGACTAGCTCTAGGATTAGCACTCGTAGGCCATGTTAACCCTTTTGATATTTAATCTCCATAATCTGTATAGTCCCGACATTAGCGGAACTTGTAATTGTGTGTACCATGTTGACATTCGTGGAAGTTTCACTGGCTGTTCTTTGAATTGGTGGGAAACTAGAGTAGGTAGGGACTGGATGATCAAAGTTAACATTGCTATTGTTAGTTCCTAATTCTGAAGTAGGTATGGATAGTATATCATCATTACTTGCTTGCTCATAGATATGTTCTGCTTTCCTTGCTTGTGCTAAGAATTTTTTTAGTTCCAGCTCTTCTGAAGCTAGTTTGAGAGCTTGAGTTTCCTTTAAGTACATAGGCTCAACGTCTAGTCCAGCAACCTTAACCAGTGCTTCAATTAACCGTGATTTTGCTGACACTGTTGAAGAACTAGAGTTCTTAGTGCGTTTAGAACCCTTTGATGAGCGAGATGATCCTTTAGTAGTGCTAGAATTAAACTCATGCTTCAGACACTGAGGTTGTGACATATATTCACACAAGGGCGTTTTAAACCTAAATATATCACAATCTCGAATCTCGAACCACTCAATAGCAACCCTGGTTTCATCGGTGTCGCCCAAGTGATTTGAATATGCATCATGAGCATCATGCAACTAATCCGTTCAAGAATTCTATTTCATTCTACACAAATTCAAAATTATTAAAATCCTGAAGTGATGGTTTGAGCTTGTTTATCTCTCTCGTTACTTGTCGTAATGCCGATATTCGAACTTCCTTAAGCTTATCTAATTCACATTGTTTACCTTTATTGTATATCATTCTACTAAAACTCGACAAGTGAGAACAAT